CCAGGTGTCCCCAGGTGTCCCCAGGTGTCCCCAGGTGTCCCCAGGTGTGTGTCCCCTGTCCCCAGGTGTCCCCAGGTGTCCCCAGGTGTCCCCAGGTGTCCCCAGGTGTGTGTCCCCTGTCCCCAGGTGTCCCCAGCTGTCCCCAGGTGTCCCCAGGTGTCACTCACACTGTCAGAGGTGGCAGGGCTCAGCATGTCCCCTGTGTCACTGTCCCCAGGTGTGTGTCCCCTGTCCCCAGGTGTCCCCAGCTGTCCCCAGGTGTCCCCAGGTGTCACTCACGCTGTCGGAGGTGGTCGGGCTCAGCATGTCCCCTGTGTCACTGTCCCCAGGTGGGTGTCCCCAGGTGTCCCCAGGTGTCCCCAGGTGTGTGTCCCCTGTCCCTAGGTGTCCCCAGGTGTCCCCAGGTGTCACTCACGCTGTCGGAGGTGGCAGGGCTCAGCATGTCCCCCGCTGTCCCCAGCAGGCTCAGGAGCTGCTCCTTCCTCCACTGCTCCGCGTCGAGGTTCCTCCTCATGAACAGGCAGCGCAGGGACAGGAGGGCGCTGCTCACGGCCTGGGGACACGGACAGACATGGGGACACGGCCTGGGGACAGAGCAGGGACAGGAGGGCACTGCTCATGGCCTGGGGACACGGACAGACATGGGGACAGTGGGGACAGTGACAGACATGGGGACACGGCCTGGGGACAGGGACAGACATGGGGACANAGGGACAGACATGGGGACACGGCCTGGGGACAGGGACAGACATGGGGACAGTGACACAGCCTGGGGACAGGGACAGACATGGGGACACGGCCTGGAGACAGGGACAGACATGGGGACAGGGACAGACATGGGGACAGGGACAGACATGGGGACAGTGGTTTTTGGGGATCCCTGGGCATTGGGAGGGTCTCCTGCGGGTTTGGGGGGTGCACCCTTAGGTTGTGACCCCCCCGGGGGGGCCGCGGGGACCCCCCCCCTTCCCACCTTGGTGTGGGGCCCGAACTCCTCCAGCAGCTTCTTGAGGGGGTGCTCGTACTCCAGAACCATCTGCCCCAGGCGCGGGAACCCGGGGTCGCTGCGGGGACACCGCGATGGGGACACCCCGGGGACAGCCCGGGGGACACCCTGGGGCTTGGGGACACCCCCGGGGACACCCCCGGGGACACCCCCGGGCTTGGGGACACTGGGGTGGGGACATAGGGATGGGGACACCGCATTGGGGACATCCCGGGGGACACCCCTGGGGACACCCCCGGGCTTGGGGACACCCCTGGGGACACCCCCGAGGGTGGGGGACACCCCGGGGCTTGGGGACATCCCGGGGGACACTCCTGGGGACACCCCCGGGGCTTGGGGACACTGGGGTGGGGACATAGGGATGGGGACACCGCACTGGGGACATCCTGGGGGACACCCCTGGGGACATCTCGGGGCTTGGGGACACTGGGGTGGGGACACTGGGGTGGGGACATAGGGATGGGGACACCGCGTTGGGGACACCCCGGGGACAGCCCGGGGGACACCCCGGGGCTTGGGGACACCCGGGGGGACACCCCTGGGGACACCCCGGGGCTTGGGGACACAGGTGGGGACATAGGGATGGGGACACAGGGATGGGGACACCGCATTAGGGACATGCCGGGGGACACCCCTGGGGACATCTCGGGGCTTGGGGACACTGGGGTGGGGACACTGGGGGGGGGACACCCCGGGGGACACCCCTGGGGACACCCCCGGGGCTGGGGGACACCCTGGGGGCTTGGGGACACTGGGGAGGGGACACAGGGATGGGGACAGGTGTTGGGGACACCCTGGGACTTGGGGACACCCTGGGGAGGGGACACAGGGATGGGGACAGGTGTTGGGGACTCCCCTGGGGACGCCCTGGGCCTTGGGGACACCCTGGGACTTGGGGACACCCTGGGGAGGGGACACAGGGATGGGGACAGGTGTTGGGGACACCCCTGGGGACACCCTGGGCCTTGGGGACACCCTGGGACTTGGGGACACCCTGGGGAGGGGACACAGGGATGGGGACAGGTGTTGGGGACACCCCTGGGGAC